CTAGCTTTAAATGAATGTCTACAATGTTTTCCAAGCTGACAACTTTCACACTCTAAGCTAAACAAATTAACAGACTCAAATAACTTTAGAAACAAGAAACGCAAAGAAGAAAAAGACAAATGTCCCAAACGATTATGCCAAAGCATAATTTGACTCACAGACTCTGACTCAAAATCCCTACTAACATGATGACCCTGATGATGAGGAAGCGCATCCAAGAGGTAGATTCCATTCACCTAACGACCACTCCCAACCGTCCTCTTTGAAACCAGATCCTGCAAAACACAATGGCCAGGAGAAAGAATCACTGAGCAATTCAAGTTCTTATTCAAACTACTAACAGATAACAAGTTAGTACTCAATTTGGGAACATGAAGAACAAAGGGTAGAGAAATGGAATCAATAATCTTGACAGACCCATTCCTAGCAATGGGAACATGAGACCCATCGGCTATGGAAACTCTATCTCTGCTAGAACAGAGTTGGTAAGAAGAAAAAATAGTGGAACTATGGGTCATGTGCTCTGAGGCTCCAGAATCTATAATCCAAGGAGGTCCCTCCTTACCTGTAGTAGAAGCATAGTTTGCAGTGGCATGCGAACTACCTGTAAGAGCAAAGGAAGTAGAATGTCCACCACCAGAACCACCTATACCTAGCTGTCCACCTGTTACCGGATTAGAGATAACTGTATCTCGTTGATTTAGTAATTGTCCATATTTCTCAAGTTCGGCCCTCATTGTAGCAGCTGCAACAGACTCAAAAGTAGCTATAGTAAGGGGGCCAGGTAAGTCACCAGTGACTGCCATGTTATCATTTCCCTTCTTGTTTTTGAGTCTATTTGGCATAAGGTGAGGATGAAGCTTCCAGCAGGTATCTCTCGTGTGTTTAGGCTTCTTACAGTAGTCACAAATCAGATCCTTCTTATCTTCCTTCCTGGTTTCACTACCACCCCGATCTCCACTCTGTTTAGGTTTCACAGTATTGACCATGGGTGACTGTTCAAGACCTAAATTCCTCATCATTACATTCCTCCTACTCTCTTCCCCTGATACAAAGGTATATGCCTGAGAGAGTGCAACACTATCCTTGGAATGGATATGTTGCCTTGCAATGTCATACTCGGGATTGAGACCAGCAAGAAATTCAAAAACCCTATTCTTCCCTAAGAGTTTCTGGTAGGCAACAACATCCTTAGTGGTTTCCAAAACCACTGTCTCTAGATGGCCAGTCTCCTGCCATAGGGTTTTAAGGGCCGAAAAATAAACAACAATAGGTTTATCTCCCTGTCTGGTAGAAATAAACTGGTTCCTCAACTGATAGGCCCTAGCAACATTTTCATTCTGTGAGTAGGTTTCTACATCTCCATCCCAAAGTTCCTTAGTTGTATTTGCCCACAAAAAAATTTTACTTATATGGGACAGCATAGAATTGCACAGCCAAGTCATTACCATATAATTTTCCCATGAGCACCAATGGCCATCTTTGCAGATTGTGACAATTCTAAAAAATTTGTACCATCCAACTTAACTGTAGTGATGGTCCCAGCCCCGAAAAGGTCTCTGCCACCTCCCACTGGTCCCATTTCACTCTTCGGTTTGTTCTCAAATTTGTGTCCCTCCATAATCCCCAAAAAAGAGGTAAAAGATCACTTTAAAATGAAAGAATATTAAATAAAACCCTTTAGGCACCACAAACACCCTTTTGGTACCCTAGATGATCCTCCTACAAAAGATTCCCTTTCTACGGAACGGGAGAAGAGAGAGAAGAAGTAGCTGCTCCCTCCAAATGCCTCCAAAACAGATGGGACTTGAACCGCCCCCTTCAAAAAACTCCAAGGAACCCTAAAAAATTAGAGCGCCACTTCCTAGGTCGAAATTGAAGAGTCCTACAAAAACAGGACTCTCCCCCTTTCTCCAACTCTTCCTGAATTTGATGGAAAACCCTAGACCAGCTACAGGGCAAAACAGATCCACCAAAAAATCCAAAAACTGGGCTTACCTGAGGTCTTCGATCAGCCCCTCATATCACCATGCAGTCGGTCGATCTAGGGCTGCATGATAAAGCAGCTCAAGAAACCTTCGGCCTGCTCTGATACTAAGTAGAATTTGCTAATAACAGTTTCAGATGAATGCCTTGTAAAGAAAAGTAGAAGAAGTTGAAAGGTTTCAGCAGTAAAGAAGAAGAAGAGAGGGGAAAAAAAGAGAGGGGATGTTGCCGGAATTGAACGAGTCTGGCCGCCAGCCCCTCTTGATTTATATACTTAAAATAAAAGAATGGAAGATTACATGAATACCCTTAGTAGGGCGGCAACTTTAAGTAGCTGAATAGTCACAACTTAAAATAACATAAACTAATGGGCCTAAGGCCCAATTACTTCCTAACTTAACAACTTAAAAATAAAAAATAAAAACCTGGGCCCAATAACTTAAAATCAGCCCAACTCAACAATCCAAATAATGAATAAAACGCCAAGGCCCACTGTCCTTCTCCCCTAAGCATTTTATAGTGTTTGCAGAACCTCCTTCTATGGTTAGTGGGGAGAAACACAAGGTCTTAGCAATTCGAAGCCCTATCAGAGCAGCCAGAATCTCAGATTTTGCAGAGTCCGCTGCTCCTATTGAGCCACTGAAAGCCCAACAAATATTTCTGTCTTCCTCCCTGATCACACCTCCTATTCCAGCCTCACCTGGATTACTGAAAACACTTCTTGATGTGGGATTTTACTGAACCAGTGCTGAATGATGGGATTTATTGGAGGGATCTGAGCTAGTCTGTTGCAATGTGCACTTTTTGCTTAACAGGATGACTTGCTCAGTTGGTTGAAGGGAGATCTTGGTGTAGATTGACACATTTAAGAGTAGGTTGTTTGCTATTGAATTTGAAATCAATTGATGTGGGAATATTTATTTGTAATTTTTTGTATTATGCTTCACATATGGAGCTGGTGGTGGGCAGGGAATGCCATTCTTTGTTCCTATTGAGGATTTTTTCTTTTCTTGTTTTGCACTTCTTTGCTTGAGCACCAATTTTTTCATGTACACCTTGTATGCTTTATTGTATGGAACAGAGTGTTGGGCAGTCAAGAAACAACATGTCCAGAAAAATTAATGTGGCAGAAATGCAAATGCTAAGATGGATGAGTGGAAAAACTAGAAAGGATAGGATTAGGAACAAAGTTATCTGTAGGAACCTAGGAGTAGCTCCAATAGGTGATAAAATGAGAGAGAGAGTAGACTAAGATGGTTTGGGCGCGTGCATAGAAGACCGCCAGCTGCACCAGTTAGAAGAAGTGGTTTGTTACACATTGAAGGGGCTAGAAGAGCTCAGGGTAGAACAAAAAGGGCATGGATAGAAGTGGTAAGAAACGATTTAATCACTAATAATTTAACAGTAGACATGGATTTAATAGAATGGATTGGCAAAATAGGATTCATGTAGCCAAACCCATATAGTTGGGACAAGGCATGGATGATGATGATGATGATGACACCTTGTATGCTTTAATTTTAATTTTGCTATACAAGAAATGCCTCAACAAGCAAGGACCACAGGAACCACTAACCCTTCATCTGATAACCATCTGCAATCTCCACTCTTTAAATGCCCAAATAGAATAACAATCTCTGACCACTGAGGTTAGATGGGTCTCAGATGGAATTGCCATGTAATTCAAACCAGGGTGCACTGGAAACCATATAGTGTTGAAAATTGAAATGTGGACAACACATTGAATAGGAAGTGGACCATAATTGGAATTTGTTACCTATTGACCCTTCAGAAACCACAAGCTGATATGCCCACCAGCACCATAGCCTCTATGTGAAATGACCAAAGCATCTTTTCCCTCATCTATTGAAATACCTCTTTTGCATGTTTGGTAATTGTGAAACTAGAATCCCTACTCAGATGGGCCCACTAGAATCCTCCCTGTGATATCACTCCTGTTTTGTCATTCCATTCAGTTTAGTGTCATATCCCTTGTTAAGCACATCAGTTCAGGTGAATGCCCTAGTATGAGCATGAAAAGACAATTCAGGATCCATGATCAAAAAAGTTCGATAAAATTTTTAATGTTGAATACTAACCTAACACAACCCATTTATCCAGGCTTGGAACCAATGGTGTAAGAACACCTTTCCTTTTCACTTAAACTCAAGTACTACAATGCCCGTCTATCTCAACTATTCAGGCCCTCAAGAACCTATTTCATTCATCCCTTTATCCCATAACACTTCATTGATGTGCATACTGCAAATTACATCTTCCAAATATTTGCACCATATGCTGCTTCTGAAAGAACCTCTTGACTTGTTTCCCTTCAGGACTCCAAATCTGCTACCAAGAGTACCCACAAGACACTACAGCTGTATTAAGAACATTTCCTCATGAATGCCAACATACAAATAGAGATGTTCCCAATGTGTGGCTGCAATGTCTTGTGGGTAGGTGTGGGTAGCATTCTTATAGGTAGAAGATCCGAGCCCTCCCTCCAGAGCCAAAAGATAAAAAGACAATTAGGCAATGATAGTCCCCACTATCCGGGGTTTTTCATCCACAGGTTATGCCATGTAAAGATCCTAGTCAAAAGCTTTTGCCAATTAGTAGCAGCTGCAACTTCTTTGATTTACCAAAGCATTCAATTTAGCATCTAGTTAAAAAATAAAAGAAAAGCATAGTTGTCTTGTCTAAATATCTCTTTTATTCAAGACACTGCAATCTTGATGCCAATATGCAAAATTTCCCCTACATTGTGCTGATTTGTATCTCCGAAACTTTTGGATCACCCCTAACATAAAAAAGAACAGTTTCGACAAAATTAAAGAACTGCTTTCCCAATATTTTACTGCAAGATATTTATTTCCAACTTATAATTCAAACAAGATAACAAATATGCCATGCTGGACCAAATTGAACAAATAAAAATGTAAAGATTTGCTAGAGTTCAGATGGCATCCAACTCTTTTTACCACAAAATGGAAAGAGATAACAGGGAAATATACCAGTGCTGTAATGCTATCAAATTCCTTGACAATATCAGTGAATTTTGCAACATCTTCCTCTTCGATTGAAGCAGAAAGATCCTGCCATAAAAGGAAAACAGAAAAAAAAAACCATAATTTACTTGAGGTTACAATTATGAGAAAATAATAGATATTACATGGAATTTATTAATCTTAATGCTGGAACCTGCAGTATGAGCAGGTAATGAGGTAAAAGTCCATAACCCCATTTTCTTTCTATATCTTCTTTTTTGGTGACAAGAGAAAACAAAATTTAATCCAAAATGATAAAGCAAAAAGACAAGACTTTGTAGCCAGTATGTAAGATGGCAATGTAACATATACCAGCTACAACAATGCAAGTTTTCTGTAGAAGAGTATAGCAGTAGATCAGCACTCAGATACACCTGATCTCAATTTCCTACTATTGATTGGTGACTTCTGTTAAATATTGACAAACCTGGGTATCCAGGATAACAAGGTGTTCAGAGGCCAAGGTGTGGGCTTCATAAAGCACTTATGCCAGCTTCCAACAAACAGGGAAAAAAACATTGAATCCATCCAAACAATGTTTCTTGGATGCTTAAACTCTACACACGTAAATTGATTGAATTACTGAAATAGTGTGATATAAATGCTCCCTCCTACAGATATCACTGTCCCTAGTTAAAAGGGCAAACACCAAATCAATTTTCAATTTGTGATTCCCCATGAGAAATTCTCAATCATGAGTAGAATCACCATAAATTTTCAATCATGTGGGCAGATCATGGATCTTAACATGTTATCATAGATGGAAATGAACCAGCTCAAACCTTAAATCGATCTAGGAGGCACTCCAAATTTGAAGTTCAAATGTTTTCCTTTTTAATAGCCATAGCCTCTGGGCCACTGCAAATTTCTGCAAACACTTTAAATGCACAGTGGCCAAACATTCATTTCAGATTCCCTCCTTCAAGATTTTTTTTCTCCTAAAACCTTGCAGCATTCCAAGACATTTTCCCTGCTATTGCTTATTTTGACTAGAAAAGACCTCTTCCTTCCAAGAATAATCCTGACAGAACACCAGGTTCATCCGGATTCCCTCTAGGGTCTAACTAAGATAACAAAGGTAACTGACCTTGAACAAGCAAAATAAAACCGCTTTTTAAAATCCAGCCTGAAGACTGAACTGTTCTCCTCTGGGTGGAAAGGTCACTGGTTCATTCATCTGGGTCAATGGGTCAACCTGTCATGTTATGATAATAAAAAATTCCAAAAAATAAAATAACACAAAATCTGGTGACCTAGTGAATGGGTTGGATGGGTTAGCGGTTCAACTGTTTGGGTTGATGGGTTGTTGACCAAGTCAATGTTTTTTTAGTAATATGGTTGATTAGAGGTTGAATGGAACTGGAATTGTGGCCAAGTCACCAGTCTGACTGGACAGGTCAATGATGGGTTGGAAAACATCAGAAGAAACTCGTAAATGGTTAAAATCAGATCAGACGTTAACCCACTGAGGTTGGCAGGTAAATAGGTTGAATGGCCCCCATTCAAAGAAAAAATGTAAACACTTACAATATATATTTTTAAACCTACTTTATGGCAATAGAAGTGTAAAATAGTAAACATCAAATAGTACATCATCATTAAACATAATTATTTATAGCCTTTGACCAAGCCAGTGTTTTGGAGAATAAGACATTTCAAATCCCAATTTTGGGACTGGGTTCCAGTCTGAACAGTCTGACCATCTTATCTACTCCAGGCTTGACAACATTGCTTAAGCCATTACAAATTTAATTCTTTGATGCCTTTGGATCCAATTGACATGATGGTTGCCACCTTTCATATCCTTCATGTTTTGGTCACTTTTCTCAAATTCTCAAATTAGGGACATAATTTTATTGATATTAAGGAAAACCAAGAATGTAGACAGGAAAGAACGAGTGCAAAGTTATGCAGACAAACTTACAGACAAAAACTTGTATTCACGTGTTCCAGAAAAAGTGGGCTCCAATTCCTGAACATGCAACTGCATCATTAAGTCTACATAGCTCATTAATTAAAACTTCATAATGATCAAATTTAGACAAAAATAAACCTGATATCGCTCCAATGAATTCATGATTGCAACAGCATCACCCCTACAAAGTTGGCAAAGGCCAGCATTCAGGAGATACCCCTTCACACTGTATTTGAGAAGATTATTGTTCACTGATTGCCGTGCTATTTCTTCATAAATTGCAATAGCTTTTGTATAACTGGAAAAGTAAAATAAAAATTTTAGATTCCAAATTAATAGGACATAATTACAAGTAAAAGATACCGTTGAAAAATAATCACAAGAAAATCAAAATTCTAAAACTAAGTTGGTTGCTGACTTTATACTGAGATTTAAGAGCAACACAAGAACATACATCATAAAGCAAAAAATATCTCACAGAAACATCTGATCAATACACTTGCCAAGCATGGAATGAATAGGGAATAGTTATTTTGGGGTCCATGCATGTAGATTGAGTAAAGTGAATACGGGGTAGGGATATCATTCATTGGCTCATTATTAATAAAGTTTACAGTTATTCCGAAATAAAAAAAAGGAACAAAAACATCTGGCCAATGGCCTTCTAGGGAATTCTAGATTGTGGATGTAAACAAAAGTTCCTTTCTGCATCCAATACTTGTGTTGAAGTGCATTAACAAAGTAAAAAATCATCATCATCATCATCCATGCCTTATATGGGGTCGACTACATGAATCCTGTTTCGCCAATCCGCTCTATTTAAAGCCATATCCATTATTAAATTATTAATGCTTAAATCATTTCTTACTACTACCCATTTCCTTTTTGGTCTACCCCTAGCTCTTCTAGCCCCTTCCACTTGTAACAAATCATTTCCTCTAACTGGAACTGTTGGTTGTCTTCTATGCACGTGATCAAACCATCTTAGCCTACTCTCTCTCTCTCATTTTACCACTTATTGGAGCTACTCCTAGGTTTCTATAGATGGATTCATTCCAAATCTTATCCTTTCTAGTTTCACCCATCCATCTTAACATTAGCATTTCTACAATAGTCATTTTTGTATGTTGTTTCTTGACTGCCCACACTCTACTCCATACAACATAGCTGGCCTTATAAATGTTTTATAGAATTTTCCTTTTTTTTGATAAATAAGTGGTATTTTATTGAGCATATAATAGGAAAGTGTACAATCAGCCTAAGAGGAGGTGCGAGATGTTACCTCCCCTTAGAGCTATGCAGTTAAGCAGACACTCTACCCTGAATTACAATTATAAGGTAGCCCAGAACAGATCACCCCTCGATACCCCCTGTTTAGCCAAGGAGTCAGCCATGTCATTTTTATAATTTTTTCCTTTTAAACTAAGTGGTATTCTCCTATTACACAAAAGTCTAGATGCACCCATCCATTTTGCCCAACTTGCTCTAATTCTTTGGTGGCATCCTCTTCAATCTCTCCCTTGTTATGAATTAATGAACCAAGGTACCAGAAATGGTCACATTGAGTTATCTTAAGTGTATCCTGATTACACTCCCATTATTATTAAATTTACATGCCATATACTCTGTTTTAGTCCTACTTATTTTAAAACCTCTTGCTTCTAGGGCATTTGTCTATATACTTAATTTTACATTTAATCCTTCATTAATTTCATCAATTAAAACAATACCATCCGCAAATAACATGCACTGTGGAACTTCTTCCTGAATATGTTTAATCAATTCATCTATGATCAATGCAATTAGATGAGGGATAAGTGTTGAACTTTAGTGAAGAGTGAAAACCCACCGTAACTGTAAAATCTAAGTTTCTCCCATTGGTGTTCTAAGATTGGTTGTTGTCCCTCATACATATCCTTAATTAGGTCTTTATACCTATTTTGAGCCCCTTTCTTTTCCAAGGCCCACCATATTATCTTTATAGGAATTCCATCTCAATCCTTTTTCTAGATCAATGAACACCATATGAAGATCTTTTTTTTTTCTCTTTGAACTTTTCTATCAATCATCTCAAAAGAAATATAGCTTCCATGGTTGGTCTCCCTAGCATAAACTCAAATTGTTTCTTTGATAAACTTGTTTTAAGTCGTAACCTTTGTTCAATTATTCTCTTCCAATGTTTCATAGTATGGCCCATGAGTTTAATTAATCCCTCAATGGTTATTACAACTTTGTTTATCACCTTTGTTCTTAAACATAGGCACCGCACTGCTATTTCTCCCACCATCAAGCATCATCTTTTCTTTTATTACCTTATTAAATAGGTCAATTAGCCATAACAGGCCTACCTCTCCCATACATTTCCACACTTCTATTGGAATCCCATTAGGTCCTAATGTCTTTCCCTTCATCTTATCCAGTGCCTCTTTTACTTCAATAGGTACAACTCTACAAAGGTATGTATTATTTTTAACACTATTAGTATTGTTAGCTTTTCCTTCATTAGCACCCTCTCCCGTTATTCAGTTAATAATTTTTCAAAATAGTTTTTCCATCTTTGTTTGATTTCCTCATCTTTTACCAAGACTCTTTGATCTTCATCTTTAATGCACCTAACATGGTTTAAATTTCTATCTTTCCTTTCTCAGCTTTGCTAGTTTATATATTCACTTTTCTCCCTCTTTAGTGCCTAATTTATGATAAAGTTCATCATAAGCCCTACATTTAGCTTCATTCACTTTCTTTTTGACTTCCTTTCTTATGGTTTTATATTTTTTCCAATTTTCTGAATTTTAGCTTTTTGTCGTTCTTTATAACATGCTCATTTTAATTTGATTATATTTTGAACCTCTTCATTCCACCACCAAGTTTCTTTAGTACTTTTCAATTTCCCTTTAAATTCTCCTAAGACCTCGTTTACAACTTTCTTTATGTTGTTTTCTATTTCAAGCCAAATATCATTAATCTTTCAATCTAAATTTCAATTCCCTTCTATTGTCAACTTGTTTCTAAATTGAGCTGGCTTTTCTCCTTTTAGGTTTTCCCACCTAATTCTCGGACACCTATTTTCTTCCCTATTTCCCTTCCATTTCCTAATGCACACATCTACCACCACTAGTCTATGTTGTGTTGTTAAGCTTTCTCTTGGAATAACTTTGCAATCTTTACACATCATTCGTTCTTAGACCTCAAACATAAAATATGACACAGCCATGCCTATCAATAACTCATTGTCAGTTAGTGCCTTGAGAGAAATCAAATGCTTGAACATTGGAGCATATAATGATATTGTCGTGTTTTATATGCCAAATGCAAGTTCATAAATTCATAACAGTTTTGCAAAACATTACCATTTTCTTGGTTTCAGAAATAGAAATTCTTGGGGATAAAATATTTCAGTTCATACTCATAAAATAATTTTGTTTTATATGAAATTTGAAGAAAATCATATATATCTTGGCAATGGTTTTTGATCAATAACAAATGTTCAAAAGCATTTTATTGATAATGAAATATGAGTGGGAATAAGTGAACAAGAGATATAAAATGTCATACATATATTGAAATTACCAAATATGTCAAAACAAAGTGTAATATATTTTTCAAATTTACTAGATATTATTATATTGGATTATTTACATTTATAAAAGGAGTTATCTAACTATATGGCCAATCATAACATTCCATCAAAATGGTGCCTTTGGATTTTCATATGCTGTTGTGGTATTGACTGGAGAAGAGATTAGTATGTTATTTAATCATTCCTTCAAACTAACAGTGTGCATGTATGTAACCATGCAAGTGGGTATATGGACTTTTTTTTTTGAGAGAGAGAGAGAGAGAAAAGGTAAAGTATTTCATTATACAGCCTTGCCCACTGAGGCACTACTGAGCAAGGCAAAGCACTTTGTACAATTCAGTAAAACCAAAAAAAGAAGATCATACAAAAAGATTTCTACACTCCAAAAACTGTAAGGACAATTCTTGAACAGTTTGTGCGTTGCCACCCAGGAATATAACCTTCCCCAAATGCCCTTTAAGACTTCCTCCTATGATCTCAACTGATTTTCAAAGTCTCATGTTTCTTTCCGACCAGATTGACCACACCACCACCGCTGGCAACACCTTCCATAAAATATAGATAAAATGAAACATAATGACCTAATGATGTATAATGTACCAAACAAAGTGTCAGATAATATGCTATTCAACAAAATCAGACCAAATTGCATTACATACGCTATTCCAAATGGAGGACTAATGGAATAATACTGATCAAAGCTGCACCACCACCCAACTGACATCTTTCAGATTGCATTCCTACTTGCAAATTTACTCTGATATACCTGGATGGCTGGATACATGTGTTTTGTTTTAGTAAGGATAACCGTATTAGAAGAAAGCAGGAAGTTTACACAAATGGAAAATAATAAGCCACAGAGGCACAATAAGCAACAAAAAAGAGAGGCTGTACAGAGTATATCCCAACCAAGAATGAACAGACACCAGTCTCCTTGAATTACAAACTCTCAGTTACACACAAATTCTGTAAGGAAAAAGAAATCCTTTTAGCTTATGAGCTCAAGACCAGAAATATAAGATCCCTATAATTTCATTTAAAAATTTATCTATATTTGCATATACCATGCATTTCCCTCTTTTGGCAGACAAAGACCAAGAAAAACAAAAAATGATGCTAATTTTGGAGGAACTTAAGAATATATGAAAAATCAATATTAAAGTGCAGCATTGTGCATTTATTTGGGTTGCTGTTTTGGAAATAGGGGCTTCATGTATTTATTGTTGTTGTTGTTTATACTGTTGTATATCCTTCTTTTGTTAGATCCAACGTATTAGGTAGTGGATCTCTCCCTTATACTGCATTTTTTTTAATTTTAATATCAGTAATGATATTATATTGTTATAAATAAAAAGTATAACAATCCCTTACATTACATCTACACAAATGATGATATTTTAAAGTGCAGCATCATGCAGAGGGAAATGATATTTAGAACAATGGAACTTCTATCATCACATAATCCAAACCAATGTATTAATATCGTCTAACCATGAAGAATAAAACAATTACATTTAGCACAGGGTGGCTTACTCTTCTAACTGAGCAGCAAACTGTGCAACTTTCAGTTTGCATTGATTTGCAGCAGATGATGACTCTTCACTTTGGAAAAAATCAGCAGAACGTTCAAAGAAAATAATAGCCTGCTCAAAGTATTGTTCATGTTCATACATCTCTGCAATTTCCTGCACTTGCAAATGTAAGCCCAAGTCATTAGCCATCCTTGAAAGTAATACAAGTACATATTATACAAGGACTTTGGAGGGGTATCACACACAAGAACATATTCCTAAAGTATATCTTCATTAATATCTTAACAAGACAGTGCTCCATCAGATGACATTAAGGAGAAGCTAAAAAATTTAGATAAGGTAAATAATGATTCTGAGTAGTCCCTTCTTCACTCCAGAAGCAAAAAGATATGGATTAGATAATTTCTGAATCATTGTAACATATCTAGATGAGGTAAAGTTGCCAAAAATGGTCTGCCAACAGTGTGGCAGATGCTTTGGCAAGGGACGCAGTAACGAGGAGCAATTGTGCCGGGGTGTGACTTAGGAGAAGGAACTCATCATAACAATTCTTTTTCGTTTATTGATGAAATTATTCTAACATTGTGATAGTAAAAAATGCTTCATGTGAACCAGGTAGCTAATGCCAGCCCAGAACAGGGGTGCCTGGCACAATCTCTGCAATTTATTCTTTAAATCAAATTTTTTGATAAGTAAATCAGCTAATGAAACCATGTACTGTTACTGGTAAAAAAAGATTAATGATTAATTTATTAAGTGAATATATGTGAAATTAGTACAATTTGATGACCAGAGTGTCACCCCCCACCCAAAAAAAAAAATCAATATTACAAAGAAGTCCAATACAAATGCTGCCTTGCAGCCCCTTGTTTGGCTAACATATCTGCTAACCCATTTGCACTCCTTCTGATCCACCTGAAATCAACATTTGCATTCTTTGCTATCCTTTCAACTTCCCTGAAAATATGTTTAAGGGTCCATGGAATGTCTATTACATTTTGCCCAAGAAATAACTACTTTTGAATTCCCTTCCACCTCCACCTGACCTGACAAAAACCCAATTGCTTTACCAAAAAAAAAAAAGTTTAGACCTTACCTTGTAATATCTTGCGCACATATTAAGCCTGCCAATTTCCATAAAGCTATTGGCTGCCTGATTTAAACATGAAATAGCCTCTGCAGAGAGCACCCAACGTTAGTAAGTTCCAAGAAGATGATATCAACTATAAAAAACTAAAATGAAACGCACATGAGAATATGGATTGAAATGGAACCGTCTACATTCTTTTTTTTCTGACAAGTGTCAACATTTTTTTATCACTAAGACAATAAAAAAATTATTAAATGGTATCTGTCTACATTACAGTTTCATATATGTAATATTAGGCTACAGATGTTGCAGAAAGGTTGCTTCCAATGTTATAAGACTCAGACCAGACCATATGGTCAGACTGTGAAAGTCATGAACCAGCTGCCATTCCAATTTTTAGAACACCATTTTTTCAAATTTCTGAAAAACCAGCTGACAAATCAGAAAACCATGACAACTGTTGAAAACAGTCCAAGTTTCAACAACCCATCTGGTTTTCAATGACCCGCCCAGGTCAATGATTTATCACAAATCATAAAATTACAATTACATAATTTGAACGTGTAATCTCTTCCTCATGTAAAAACACACTACAATTGATCCATATGCTGATCTTCAGGGGAGACATGGGTCAGGATTGATAAGAGGCCAAGGTTTGTTGCCATACTTGCTGATTTGTGATTTAGTCATATTGTAATTACACCAACTGTACTATTTCATTCATGATAATGAAATGCATTGTTGCTGATCAAAACATTTACAGTAAGAAATATATGTATCAGATTAAAATCTAATAGTGTGATGTATTACAGGTAAAGTTCTGCTTATGAGTTAACAATACAAAAACCTTGAGGAGAAACTTTTTTGTAACAGCTAGCAGCATTTGCATATGCTGAAGCAGCTTCATGCTTGCTTTCTGCCTGTAAACAGGAACTAAAAGCATTACAAAGGTATGTGGACAAACATTTATGTTTGGCAATGTTTTACACAAAAGACCAGCAATGTGTTACACAACCACTAACCTTCAAGTGACAATCAGCCATTTTGAGATATATAGATCCTGCTTTATCCCCTGAAAACCCAATAGAGGGATTAGTAAGCTAATAAATTTGGGTTCTCTCTATATAGAAAAATCCAGTGGCTAAGATTTATGTTTCATATGAATAGTCAAATCCATAACTCTTTGAAGCTATGACAGTGGGAGCAATTTATAGTTTTTTTTTTCAAAAGTAAAGCACTAATAATGTTTTTTTTTTTGAGAAGGTATTTTGAATCACAACAATAACAATATATTCTAAGAAAAAAGCTAGTGGCACAGTGGCCAAGGATTTTGCATATCTGAGGCGTTTTTTCCCCTGGGTTTTATCCTTCATCTTTGTATCCGTTCTTATACACCGAAATCTTATTTTTCATTGATAAAAGAAAATTACAACCTGAACCAAGGGCCTAAATGCATGGGTGGACCTAGTGAATGTCATGGTCAGCCGACACTCAATATCTTCTTCATTGCCATTATGTGACTTTTTAGAAGAAACATAAGAACGTATCTAACGTGGTGCTCCACAATTAAGTAATGGTAATGAAAATCATCACCCTGATCAGAAGCAACCTTCTATCCATTGGTTGTCATTATCATAAAGGATGTTATTTGGGCCAGAGTTCACAAGTTTAGTCTGGATGAATACCACAGAAATAAAATTTTGGAGATTTAACAATTCTGGGTCCATAACCAAGCAATCGATCAATGCGGAAGGCTCCTTGATGTTACAAGAACCCCTAATGTAACTTGTAGAGGCAATCCTACTGACCATACCGACTTTATTAAATTATCAATCATCAAGGACGGGTTCAACTAAGCAATTCCATTTTAAGCGTCATGTTACTGGCCAGATGCCTGATTGCATAATTGAGATGGTTCATTTTCGTCCATCAGAAATTGGTCAAACAACATACAATTCGATAATCAATTATGCACTTTCCCAGAAAACGATACCAACAAAACAGGAATCAATAAAACTTAAACAAAGTCACTAAAACGAAGGATGATGCCATGAAAAAGAAAATTGTAAGGTTTCAGTCACTTGAATCGTATCGGAACCGTATTCCTGAAACACAATAAATGACAAGATACTCAAATGAGGGATGGAATGATTACATGATTTAGCCAATTTGTAGAGCGTCGCAGCTTTTTCGTATAAATCTGCGGCATCTTCGTATTTATTGCCGAACAAATTCCAGCTACCGATCTTCTTCTCTGCTTTCTTCTCAAACTCCTCTCCTTTTACAATTTGATCATCTCCCTTCCCAATGTACTGCGCCATTTTCTATCTTTCTGATCTCTCGCGTCGCAACTCGCAAAAGCGAGAAGGAGATGGCAGTAGAACGAATGCGGATGTGATATCCATTTATTAGAGAGAGACGACGAGAAAATTAAAAGGCTGCGACGGGTCCCGTTCGGAGGGCGAAAGTAGTTCCCTTGCTGTTAGATTGGAACTTTTAGTGGGTGATTGATAAAATACATCATGCCTCACGTTAATGAACAGTTCTAACAGTAGATCTCATATTCTACTGATTGCATATAAAATTCCTAATCCGACGGCTACTGCATGAGTACAAGATGTTCTTCCCCCAAAAAAGAAGCTTCCTCCCGTCTGAAAAGGTCAAAAAACATAAAACGAGTACTAAGTAATCAGTAATCTTCCAAGTTTCAAACGGAGAAGGGGTGGCAGTGGAAGTTGGACTGGGCTAAACTAATTTCCCAATTTACAGCCATTGACATTTGGACTTGGGCTAACAGATAACTAGGCAGCCAAACTAAGATTCATCATGGGCTTGGGCTAAAATCTAAATGGCGTTTACTTTTATTTTCATTTGTTTTTAATTCGCTACATCGGAAAAAAAAAAAACATTACATCGTTTTTTGAATTTTTTGTTTTTAACCAACAAAATATTTGTTTTTAACCAACAAAATCTATATAAATATCAAGAAATGTTCTTTTTTTTTGAATTTTTTGTTTTTTTATTCCATGTCATTTTTTAAACAACCAATGATGAGATACATTTTCCCAATAACCTAAATAATCTATTATCCTAAACTATCTCAATAACAAAAAAATAAATATTTTATAGATTATTTAAATATTTATCATAATTATATTTTAAATAGTTAAAATAATGAAATTATCTAATAAATAATTTTATATTTTTACAAAATATATCATGAAATTATGTACTAACATTTTAAATTATGTTTTTCTGGATCATCAATTTAAATAACAAAATTATTTAATAAATAATTTTATATTTTTACAAAATATATCACAGAATTATGTACTAACAATTTAAATTATATTTTTCCAGATCACCAATTTAAATGTTTTTCAAATACTTAATAACATGTAATAGCTTTAAATAAATAAAACTCAAATAATAAAAAATTTTAAATATTGTATAGATTATTTAAATATTTAAATAACTAAATATTTATCATAAATAGATTTTAAATAGTTAAAATAGGGAAATTATGTAATAAATTAAAAAAAAATCTTTGAAGCAGAAAAATAATTATAACATAATATTAAAATTAATAAAAATTTGGTATATTACAAAATTAATAATTAAATTATGTAATAATAGTATAAATTATGATTTTATGGATAATTAAATTCCATAAATAACTAATATTTTATATATTATTTAAGTATTTAAATAACTATGTGTTTTAAATAACAAAATATTTAACATAACCAGATTTTAAATAGTTAAAATAAAGAAATTATGTAATAAATTTAAAAAAAAATCTGAAATGTAGAAAATAATTATAACATAATATTTAAATTAATAATAATTTAATATTTTTACATAATATTGTAAATAACTAATTTCACTTATATCAAGTAGTAATTTGAGAAAATAACTTTCAAAAAAATAATATTTATTAATAATAATTTTAAACTCTTAATCTATATTTATTATATAATTATATATACTAAAATTAATATTTATTGTATTTCAGTAATTGTTTATTATTT